TACTTGATTTCGTTGGGGAAAAAAACGTTCCGAATCTGCCAGGAAAGAGAGAAATGCCAAGGCAGTCGCCCTTTATCATCTGCTCTAACGCCCTTCACGTTATGCTACCACGTAGTCACTGAATTTGACATCCGTGTTGGGAACCGAGTAAGTCGGTTCTTCATTTTCTTTCTCCTTTTTCGTTTCTCCATTTCTCTCTCCTGCCTTCTCTCTCTTTCCCACAATTTCTTCTCAATCCATCTTTATAACACAATCAGTACTCTACAAATTGGCTTAGTGCTGGGCAATTTGGAATCAAACCGATCTGTTATTCGAAAATCGAATCGAAAAAAGAATTTGGTTTGATTTTAATGGTTTTTTTTTATAGAAAATAGAGAAATATATTAAATATAAGGAGATTACAGATAAATCTCTAGCAGGGCATTATAGCCAGATTAAAAACAAAAGCATAACCTACAGCATTAGTAACAGATTTAAACTATGCCATATATGGACAATTAAGCAAAGAGGGCCATCTGTGACTAAAGATTGTAGCTACAATCGTTGTAAGGGCAAAAATAGAGCTACAAAAGTAGAGAAGGAGGTCGCTATGAGTGTCTGAAACTACTGGACATCCTCATCTATTTAGCAAGCTTCATGGGGAGAGCAGGGAAAATTCGACATCAGCAGTCCCCAACCCACTATATGTCGTCCCTAAAACAGTTTCAATCAATAAGAGGGCCATGCTCCTCCATACAAACCCAGGCGCCTCTCTTGTCGCCATGGGCTCCCAACCATGATCCTAACTATTCCAATCCTTTGCAAGCCTTTGTTGCCAAATTTCAATAAAGGAACTAGAGCCCCTTTTGAGACTGAAGTGGCATTCTTCCCTTGCAGAACACCACCGACGTCACCAATCAACCTCCACTGACGTTCTCCCCTTTTGGCCCCTCTCGCAAAAATCAACTGGAATCTGAGAAAGCCCCTCTCCTTTGCTGATTTGCTAAAAAAATCCTTGAAATCACCTAAACGCCGTTGAGGCATAGGAGAAACCATCTCTAGTTGGCCAGAATACCCTATTGATGGCTGTTGACAGCCACCTGGATCTACAATTACAACAACGATGTGAGATGGTTTCTCTATGCACAATTGCCTATAGAACAGCAAAACCAGCCCTAGATCTATCAATAGCGAGAAAAAGGAAACTTGAAGATTACTCTCCTCACTCCGAAACAGGGTCAAACCACCCCTTCTCTCTGCACAATTGCACGTAGAAACGTGATCCAACCCTAGATCTATTTGAAACAAACTCATCTCCATCCCCGATTGCTTTGTTGTAGGGGGCAAGGTAGTGTTTGTCATATGTTGGAGGCCAAATTGGTTTTACTCAAGGACTGAGTAAACCTCTCCAAAAGTGCGATAATTCCAAGCCAATATACACAAATGAGCCATGGAAAGAAACGAGAAGAAAACAGGGGAAAAGCCTTGAAGAAACAGGGAGAGGCGCCTAGGTGAGAGTCTCGCACGTTGAGAGGAAACCCTAGTCGCGACGAGAGAATATAAAACTATTTTTTTTATTTTAATGGTTTTTAATTTTTAATTTTTTTATTTTAATATTAACCAAATATATTTTGGTTCAATTTTGGTTGAGCCTTTTAAAAATTAAAAATTGAAAATAAGTCATTTGAAAATCAAAATTATGATAAATATGATAAAATATAATAAAATATATGATAAAATATAATATATTATTACAAAAATAATTATTTATTATTTATTTATCAAAAATTAAAATCGAATCAATTTTCTTAATAATTGAATCAATAGATTTTTAATAATTTTGATTCAGTTTCAATTCCTAAAATTAAAAAAAAAATTAATTATTTTAAAATCCATTTCAATTTTAACCAAAAACTGATTTTGCCCGCCCCTAAAATTGGCAATCAAAGACTCAAATGTGGGACCCCTCCTTAAGGATGAGATCCTCACTTTTTA